TGGGCAGTAAGAGTGAAACTCTGTCTCAAAAAAAAAAAAAAAAGAAAAGAAAAAAACTAAACAACTGTTAAATAGTAGAGCTAAGTCTGAAGCATAGGCCTCCAGACTTCCAGTCCAGTTCCCTTTTGCACTAACAGTACAGAAGACTACTTAAAAAAGCAGATCCTGCCCAGTGTGGTGGCATGTGCCTCTAGTCCCCAGCTACTCCAGGGAGCAGCTGAGGCCAAAGGATCTGAGCCTTGGAGTTGGAGACCAGCTTGGGCAACATAGCCACCCCACCTACTAAAAAGAAAAAAGAGAGAGAAGCTGATTCTGATTCTGTGTGACTTTGAGCAAATTACTTATTTCATAGTGAGCCAGTAAGTTCATCTGTAATATGGGACTATTCACTGGGTAATAACTTCACTGAGGATAATAGGTGCTAAAACCTGTAGAGCACTTAGAACAGTGCTTGACAAATACTAAGTTCTGTATAAATGTTGGCAATTCTACATTGCTTTAACTTCTGAGATGGAAGCTTTATATTGTATACCTTATTAGTAATATACTCAAGGACACATGTAGGGCGTATTTCAGAAGTTTTGTGGATATTGAAAGAATAGAGGGCAAACCATATTTTTGACTCTCAATATTCCCATATTTTTGGCTTCATTATATTCCCACAATGTACTTCCAACCAAGTAAACATGTCAAAACTGTGCTAAGAATACTTTCCTGGGATCAGACACCACTGAGATAACTGGTTATTGAAGAAGCTGAAATCAGCTGGCACAATGGCTCATGATAGTATCCCAGCACTTTGGGAGGCTGAGGAGGGTGGGTCACCTGAGGTCAGGAGTTCAAGACTAGTCTGACCAACATGGTGAAACCCTGTCTCTACTAAATACAAAATATTAGCCGGGTGTGGCGGCACATGCCTGTAATCCCAGGTACTTGGGAGGCTGAGGCAGGAGAATCACTTGGACCTGAAAGACTGAGGTTTCAGTGAGCTGAGATTATGCCACTGCACTCCAGCCTGGACAACAAGAGCAAAACTCTGTCTCAAAAAAAAAAAAAAAAAAAAAAAAAAAAAAAAAAACAAAAAAAAAAAAACAAAAAAAAAAAAAAAAAAAAAAAAAAAAAAAAAAAAAAACTGTCTCAAAAAAAAAAAAAAAAGCTGAAATCAAGAATACTGGAGTATTAAAACAGGACACACATAAATCAAAGTGTAACATAATTTTAAACAAAAACTAAGCAATTAGTCTCAGACCAAATCCGTTAATGAGTATGTGGAGTCACCTAACATTTTAGTATAAAAGATGTTAGATAAAAGCCCCAATGACCAGACTGCAACACTGCAAATTGTTTAAAGAAGTGTTTTGAGGATGAGCAAGGTGGCTCAAGCCTGAAATCCCAACATTTTGGGAGGCCGAGGTGGGGGGATCACTTGAGGCCAGGAGTTGAAGACCAGCCTGGACATGGCAAAACCCTGTCTCTACTAAAAAATGCAAAAATTAGCTGGGCGTGGTGGCACATGCCTATAATCCCAGCCACTCAGGAGGCTGAGGCACGAAAATCACTTGGACCCGGGAGGCGGAGGTTGCAGTGAGCCTGAGATGGCGCAACTGCACTCCAGCCTAGGTGACAGAGCAAGATTCCGTTTCAAATAAATAAATATATAAGCAAGCCGAAGGTCTTCAGTGCACCTCGGACCGGCGGAGCTTAATGCTCAGCTACACAGCTTGCTCAGAGCCCCGTCCAGGCGTCCCCATCTAAAGGCTCCACCTGCGCAGAGTGGGATGTTCTCCTGCGCTATAGTGCACAGAAAATGAGGAGTTTTGCAAACAAACGCAGCCACTGCCCCAAGGTCTCGGGTAACCGATTGGTAAAACCTAGGTCTTCCCACTTAGGGAAGATGACCCAAGAGCGAGAAGGCGAAACAAAAGGCCGCCGGGCCCGTGGAGCCTGGAGCTCAGACGTCGCCCCATGCTCGGCGCCTGAGGGACGGCTCAGTGGGACTCCCGGAGCCCGGATGCGCGTGGGGACTCGGTGCAGTCCAGCCGCACGGCCCCGCGTCCCACGGTTCCCTTCACGTCCGTTCCTTCGTTTCCCCACCTTGGGAGGGCCAGGACTTCCCAGGCTTTAGTGGTCAGGAAGCTGCGAGAAGGTGGCACTTGCTTAGGTGAAGCGCGGAACACAGCTTTGAAGGGAGGCACGTGACTGGAGCCTTTCTGGCCATGGACGATCACCCGGCTCCAGGCGCCCGCTCGCCCCAGCGGTTGACGGTCACGTGATACGCCCCAGTGCGCCGTTCCTGCAGCGTGTCATGTGACGCACAGAGAACGCAGCTTCCTGAGGACCGTTTTTTTCCTAACTGACAGAAGTAATGTGGCGGTTCACGCTCTCATTGCCTGTATAGGCTGATGGCCCACTCCCCGGTTTAGCCGAGCTCCTTACCTGTCCAGCCAGAAAGTTGCCATTGGGGTAAGGTGGATGGCGTGGGGTAAGAGGGAAGGGCCTTAGCACGGTTTCTGAACACTTCCTCCTCGGATTCTGGAGGCCGTAGCTAGGGAAAGCAAGGGCCAGTAGGGCAGTTTCCTCTTGTGTCCCCCATTCTTGTTGAGACTGTGTGAGACTGTGGGTATGGTGGGGTGAGCCTCTGGCTGACCTGTGTCCCTCCTGCCAAGACTTTTTCTTGCCTGCTCAACGGGTGAATTTGCTCACTTGGTGGGTGGCAGTCCAGTGACCATAACCAAGGATTTTTTTTTAAAAAAAAAACGAGTCCCGCTCTGTCACCCAGGCTGGAGTGCAGTGGCACAACCTCAGCTCACTGCAACCTCTGCCTCCAGGGTTAAAGCGATTCTCTTGCCTCAGCCCCCCGAGTAGCTGGGACTACAGGCACACGCCACCACTCCTGGCTAATTTTTTGTATTTTTAGTACAGATGGGGTTTCACCGTCTTAGCCAGGATGGTCTCCATCTGACCTTGTGATCTGTCCACCTCAGTCTCCCAAAGTGCTGGTATTACAGGCGTGAGCGCCTGGCTGACAAGGGGATGTTATTACTTGCAACAAATAAGGAAAACACTGGGGATAATTACAAAAGCAGTGAGTCCCTGAACAAAGGTGAAACAGTGCTTTCATTAGGCCAAGTGGTTTGTAGAGGTGGAACAAAGGCTGTGCAGATACAGTTTTTCATCATGTTTCCACATACCTCCCATGCATAGAAAATGTCAAATAAGGCCGGGCATGGTGCTCAAGCCTGTAATCCCAGCACTTTGGGAGGCCCAGGTGGGTGAATCACCTACGGTTGGGAGTTCGAGACCAGCCTGACCAACATGGTGAAGCTCCATCTCTACTAAAAATACAAAATTAGGGCCAGGCGTGGTGGCTCACACCTGTAATCCCAGCACTTTGGGAGGCCAAGAAGCGGGGCAGATTACTTGAGGTCGGGAGTTTGAGACCAGCCTGACCAACATGGAGAAACCCTGTCTCTACTAAAAAAAAATAAAATTAGCCAGGCATGGTGGTGCCTGCCTATAATCCTGGCTACTCAGGAGGCTGAGGCAGGAGAAACGCTCGAACCCGAGAGGTAGAGGTTGCAGTGAGCTGAGATTGCACCATTGCACTCCAGCCTGGGCAATAAGAGGGAAACTCCATCACAAAACAACAAGAACAACAAAAAAATTAGCTGGGCGTGGTGGCACATGCCTGTAATCCCAGCTACTTGGGAGTCTGAGGCAGGAGAATCACTTGAACCTGGAAGGCAGAGGTTGTGGTGAGCCAAGATTGCACCATTGCCCTCCAGCCTGGGCAACGAGAGTGAAACTCAGTCTCAAAAAAGAAAAAAAGAAAATGGCAAATAGATGGGACACAGTGGCTCACACCTGTAATCCTAGTACTTTGGTAGAGTAATGAGGGAGGGTTGATAGAGTCCAGGAGTCCATAACCAGCCCAAGCAACACAGGGAGACCCAGTTTATTTTTTAAAAAAGAGAAAGAAAATGGTGAAAAAGAAGCTCCTCCCTGTCAGACTGGGCAGGGAACCCCTCTTAGGGGCTTGCTGAGTACCTAAGCACAGAAATAAGTCTTGAGTTTTTTAAAGGGAAATTACCAGCACGTAGCTAGCCCTGAGAGTAAATAAGTGACACAATACAAAAGTAATAGTAGCTTAAAATGATAGCCAAGGAAGTTAAAGTCATGGAATATTTGGTTTTCTGTAGAAGATGAAAGATAACCTTTTTTTTTCCTGTTTTATTTATTTATTTATTTTTTATTATTTTTAAAGATGGGGTTTCACCATATTGGTCAGTCTGGTCTCGAACTCTGAACCTCAGGTGATCCGCCCGCCTCGGCCTCCCAAAGTACTGGGATTACAGGCGTGAGCCACCGTGCCAGGCCAAAATGAAAGATAACTTTTTAGGCCGGGCGCGGTGGCTCAAGCCTGTAATCCCAGCACTTTGGGAGGCCGAGGCGGGTGGATCACAAGGTCAAGAGATCGAGACCATGCTGGTCAACACAGTGAAACCCCGTCTCTACTAAAAATACAAAAAATTAGCTGGGCATGGTGGTGTGTGCCTGTAATCCCAGCTACTCAGGAGGCTGAGGCAGGAGAATTGCCTGAACCCGGGAGGCGGAGGTTGCGGTGAGCCAAGATCGCGCCATTGCACTCCAGCCTGGGTAACATGAGTGAAACTCCGTCTCAAAAAAAAAAAAAAAAAGAAAGATAACTTTTTAACATATGTCTCTCAGTTGTTTTTCAGAAACCTGGACCCCCGCTGAATGGATCTGCTAGCATCTAGACCTCAGAGAAGGGGGAACTGAAGACTGAACTCTGACCACTGTTCTTTGTCGAAAATTTCTTCCTGAGGGGCCTGGAGGGAGTAACATCCAGGATCCTGAGCTAACATTGTTTTCTGCTGACCTGAAAATTTAAACTAAGCTTCTCTTTCTTAACCCATTGCAAATCAGAAAAATCTTTGAATCTACCTATAACTGTAAGGCTTTATTTCAAGATAGCCTGCCTTTTTAGGCCAAAACCAAAATGTGACCTCCAGCTATTGATTTATAATTTTGCCTATAACTTTGGCTTTCCTGAAGTTTACCCCTGCCTTTAAAAAAACAAAACAAAATAAAAACTTACCTGCAAGGCATCAGGGAGGTCAGGATTTGAGCATGAGCTGCCTGGTCCTCCTTGCTTTCCATCTTTGTAAATAAATACCTTTAGCTGGGCATGATGGCTCACACCTCTCATCCCAGCACCTTTGGAGGCCAAGGTGGGAGGTTTGCTCCATCCCAGGAGTTGGAGACAAAGAGCAAAATGCTGAAACCCTGTCTCTACATTGTAAAGTTTAAAAGTTAGCTGGGCATGATGGTGCACTCCCATAGTTCCAGCTACTTGAGGAGGCTGAGACAGAGGGATTGCTTGAGCCTAAGAAGTTGAGGCTGCAGTGAGCCATGATCGTGCTACTGCATTCCACTGGGCAGCAGAAGGAGACCCTGTCTCAAAACAAAACATTAAAAAATAACAAAGCCAGGTGCAGTGGCTCACACCTGTAATCCCAGCACTTTGGGCAGGCGGATCACTTGAAGCTAGGAGTTTGTGACTAGCCTGGCCAACGTGGTGATACCCTGTCTCTACTAAAAATACAAAAATTAGCCCCAGGCGTAGTGGCTGGCAACTCTCATCTCAGCTACTTGGGAGGCTGAGGCAGGAGAATTGCTTGAACCCAGGAGGCTGAGGTTGAAGTAAGTCAAGGTGGCACCACTGCATTCCAGCCTGGGTGACACAGCAAAACTTCATCTCCAAAAATAACAAAAAATAAATACATGCCTTCCTTTCTAGTGCTGCACAACCTCACTGTGTCAGGCAGGTGAGCAGATCCCAGTTAGGTTCTATAGCACCTGGGTAAGGGTTTTTAGTATGGTAATAAGAGTTAGCCAAAGTTTGTATCCATCATAGGCATCTCTGGATCCAGCCAGTTTTTGTTTTGCTAGGGCAGGGCTTCCTGGAACTTTTTGAAATAACACTCAAGGTTCAGCTGTTTTAAGTGGTTTTTTTTTTTTTTTTTTATGTTGTATACCCAAAAACCTGGGCACTGTAAACCAGGGGCCACGAGTTACAGTATTTTCACGTTGTGTATCCCAAAACCTGAAAACCCGGGAACCCTGGATTATAGTACTTCCTGGTAGGTGATTTTTTTTTTTTTTTTTGACAGAGTCTCTGTCGCCCAGGCTGGAGTGCAGTGGCACAATCTTGGCTCACTGCAACCTCTGCCTCCCTGGTTCAAGCAATTCCCTGCGTCAACTTCCCCAGTAGCTGGAATTACAAGTGCCTTCCACCACTCCCAGCTAATTTTTGTATTTTTAGTAGAGATGGGGTGTCACCAGGTTGGCCAGGCTGGTCTTGAACTCCTGACCTCGTGATCTGCCCTGCTTGGCCTCCCAAAGTGCTAGGATTACAGGCGTGAGCCACCGCACCCAGCCCTGGCAGGTGATCTTACCCACTCACATCATCTAGTCAATTTGAACCACCTTCTCAACTGTGAGAGCTCATTTATGAGGGCCTAAATACTCTTCCACTCCCTTTTCTGCTGGCACCCCTCAGGCTGATGAAAATACTTAGGTCTTTAAAGCCGACTGGAAATGCCGAGTCAAAATCAAATTGGAATATTTAAAGTATATTCAAAAATATTTCAGCAATGCAGACAATTGTGAGTAATGAAGCTGTTAGTAATGTATGGCTTGATACTGTATACAACAAACAAATTTAATATGTACCAGTTATTTTTTTCTTATTTATTTATTTTGAGATGGAGTTACACTGTTGTCATCCAGGCTGGAGTGCAATGGCGCGCAACCTCCAACTCCTGGGTTCAAGCGATTCTCCTGCTTCAGCCTTTCGAGAAGCTGGGATTACAGACATGTACCACCACACCCGGCTAATTTTTGTATTTTTAGTAGAGATGGGGTTTCACCATGTTGGCCATGCTGGTCGCAAACTCATGACTTCAGGTGATCCACCCATCTCTGCTTCCCAAAGTGCTGGGATTACAGGCATGAGCCACTGCAACTGGTCCTTTTTTTCTTATTTTTCATTACCAACAGTTTGCCCTGACAGATGTGCCAGTGATTTTTGACAAGTATGCAGTCACAGTTATTGGTGAGAGCCATATAATCTTGCACTTTTCAGTCTTGCAAGGCAAAAAGATTATGACAGAATGACCCAATAAGATGATACAATCAGATGTATTCATGTTTTTTGGGTTTTTTTTTTTTCTTTGAGACAGAGTCTTTTTTTTTTTTTTTTTGAGACGGAGTTTCGCTCTTGTTACCCAGGCTGGAGTGCAATGGCGCGATCTCGGCTCACCGCAACCTCCGCCTCCTGGGTTCAGGCAATTCTCCTGCCTCAGCCTCCTGAGTAGCTGGGATTACAGGCACGCACCACCATGCCCAGCTAATGTTTTGTATTTTTTTAGTAGAGACGGGGTTTCACCATGTTGACCAGGATGGTCTCGATCTCTTGACCTCGATGGTCTCGATCTCTTGACCTCGTGATCCACCCGCCTCGGCCTCCCAAAGTGCTGGGATTACAGGCTTGAGCCACCGCGCCCGGCGAGACAGAGTCTTGCTCTGTTGCCCAGACTGGAGTGTAGTGGCACGATCTCAGCTCACTGCAACCTCCGCCTCCCAGGTTCAAGCGATTTTCCTGCCTTAGCTTCTCCAGTAGCTGGGATTACAGCTGTCTGCCAGCATTCCCAGCTAATTTTTGTATTTTTGGTCAAGACGGGATTTCACCATGCTGGCCAGGCTGGTCTTGAAATCCCGACCTCAGGCAATCCGCCTACCTTGACCTCCCAAAGTGCTGAGATTACAGGTGTGAGCCACAACGTCCAGCCAGATGTATTAATATTTATGGTTTATCTTCTTGTGGTCTTCTATTTGAAAATGTGAAAAGTGGGTACCCAAGATAATTCACCATTTTGAAAACTCATTGTTTCTTGGAACACAAATTGATCTCAGAAGTATAACCCTGTACTACTGAGAAACTTAACCAAGGACAAACACAAGCCCCTCACTTCACAGATGGCTGACATGATGGTCTGTGACCTGAAGGTTGTCAAATAGTGGAGTGTCGTGATTCACATGGAAGAGGCTAAAAGATGTTTGGTGAAGCACTATGGGCGGCCCTGGAAGAGGACTGAAGATGCAGCTTCAGGTGAGTGCTGCTCCGAACATAATCCAGGGCACTTTCTGCACAGTTGGTGGTTCTGTCACACTAAAAGCAATGTTATTTTTTAAATTATCTTTTTAGAATCAAGGTCTCTGTTGCCCAGGCTGGAGGGCAGTGGTGCAATTACACTTCACTACAGCCTCAACATCCCAGGCTCAAGTGATTCTCCCACCCTAGTCTTCCAAGTAGCTGGAATTACCACTGCATGCCACCACACCTGGCTTATTTTTTATTTTATTTTAATTTTTTTAATTTTTATTTTTAATTTTTTTTTTTTTGAGACGGAGTTTCGCTCTTGTTACCCAGGCTGGAGTGCAATGGTGCGATCTCGGCTCACCGCAACCTCTGCCTCCTGGGTTCAGGCAATTCTCCTGCCTCAGCCTCCTGAGTAGCTGGGATTACAGGCACGCGCCACCATGCCCAGCTAATTTTTTGTATTTTTAGTAGAGACGGGGTTTCACCATGTTGACCAGGATGGTCTTGATCTCTTGACCTTGTGATCCACCCGCCTCGGCCTCCCAAAGTGCTGGGATTACAGGCTTGAGCCACCGCGCCCGGCCTAATTTTTATTTTTTTAAAGATGAGGTTTCACCATGTTGGTCAGGCTGGTCTTGAACTCCCGACCTCAGGTGATCCACCTGTCTTGGCCTCCAAAGTGCTTGGATTACAGGCGTGAGCCACCGCGCCCGGCTATTTTTTATTTTTAAATTTTATTTTATTTTTTGAGATGGAGTCTTGCTCTGTGACCCAGGCTGCAGTGCAGTGGCACAGTCTTGGCTCACTGCAACCTCTGCTTCCCGAGTTCAAGCAATTCTCCTGCCTCAGCTTCCCTAGCAGCTGGGATTACAGGCTCACGCCACCATGCCCGGCTAATTTTTGTATTTTTTTAGTAGAGATGGGGTTTCACTGTGTTGGCTAGGCTAGTCTCGAACTCCTGGCCTTGTGATCTGCCCACTTCAGCCTCCGAAAGTGTTGGGATTACAGGCGTGAGCCACCATACCTGGCCTAAATTTTAAATTAAAACACATTTTTTTTGGAGATGGAGTCTAGCTCTGTTGCCCAGGCTGGAGTGCAGTGGCACAATCTCGGCTCATTTCAACCTCTGCCTCCTGGGTTCAAGCGATTCTCCTGCCTTAGCCTCCCAAGTAGCTGGGACTACAGGCACCCATCACCATGCGGAGCTAATTTTTTTACTTTTAGTAGAGATGGGGTTTCACTGTGATGGCCAAGGTGGTCTTGAACACCTGACCTCGTCATTCCTCATCTCAGCCTCCCAAAGTGCTGGGATTACAGGCATGAGCCACCACGCCCGGCTAATTTTTTTATTTTCTATTTTTTGAGACAGAGTCTCTCTGTCTCTTGACCACGACAGAGTACAGTGGTGAGATCTCAGCTCACTGCAATCTTCACCTCCCAGGTTCAAGAGAATCTCATGCCTCAGCCTCCTAAGTAGCTGGGACCACAGGCCCATGCCACCACGCCTGACTAATTTTTGTGTTTTTAATAGAGACAGGGTTTCCCTATGTTGGCCAGGCTGGTCTCCAACTCCTGGCCTCAATCTGTCTGTTTGTCTGGGCCACCCAGAGTGCTGGTTTTCCAGGTATGAGCCACCATTCCCGGCCACTCGGGAAGCTGAGGCAGATGAATCGCTTGAACCCGGGAAGCAGAGGTTGCTGTGAGCTGAGATCATACCGCTACACTCCAGCCTGGGGGACAGAGTGAGACTATGTCTCAAAAAAATAAAATAACCTAAAAACTAAAAAGCAAAACAAAAAAAATTGGGGACTATGTGGATAGATTTACTACACCAAAGCGCTCAAAGAACTGATGCCTCTTATAAGGGAAAGGACTGCATGTTTCTGATGAAGCTACCATGACCTGCCAGATTTCCAACTCCTGCCAAAATTGATCTCTTTGTCTGTGGTAGAAGAGGCCATACCATTGTGGCCCTTGAAACTTACTGTATTATGTGTTTTTCAGTGAACAGTTAACATACCCAAATGGTTGTAACTGACACTGCTGAATATATTGTGGGAACAGAAGTGTTAAGTCTGTATAACACTTCTTTTGATTGTAAGGAACGTTCCCAGTGGGGAAATGCCGTTATTAAAATGTGATTGGGGGGATGAATATGGAATAAGAGCCTACCTTCTTACTAGTAAAACAGTACAAGATGCCAAGGGGAAGGGAGGAGAGGGGATGATGTCACTATACTCATGTAGGAACTAGAAGGAAGAGGAGTGCTTAAGGAAACTACCCAGTAGGCTGTACAGACTGACCTCTCATTTGGAACAGTTCTAATGAGCCGTTTGAGCTACAAATGACAGTGACTGACAGGCTGCCTGGAGTCTGTGGCACTATGCAGTAAGTACCATACAGGCTTTTGGGCACAGCATTTGCCTGACACCTCTGCCTGGTATACTCCATTTAAGCAGCAATTATTTGCTTGTTAGTGAGTGCTTTTGGACACTTAGAAGCTAACTAAGCATCAACAGGTATTGTTATATACATGTCCATTCTTTTTTTTTTTTTTTTTTGAGACAGAGTCTTGCTCTGTCACCCAGGCTGGAGTGCAGTGGCTCGATCTTGGCTCACTGCAACCTCTGCCTCCCAGGTTTAAGGGATTCTCCTGCCTCAGCCTCTCAAGTAGCTGGGATTACAGGTATGTGCCACCACACCCGGCTAATTTTTGTATTTTTAGTAGAGATGGGGTATCGTCATGTTGACTAGGCTGGTCTTGAACTCCTGACCTCAGGTGATTCGTCTGCCTTGGCCTCCCAAAGTGTTGGGATTACAGGAGTGAGCCACTGCACCTGGCCTGACATGTCCATTCTTGGATGGATCAAAAATGAAAACATTAAAAAAAAAAAAATTAAAACATCAGCAAAGGAGGTAATGCTTAGCAAGCATGCATTCTTTAATGGAAATGGTATATTGAAGAAAGAAGTAAACTGGGTGTATTTCTTATCACCACTGTTACAAATTTAGTGACTTAAAACATAACTTTATTGTCCTGCAGTTCTAAAAGACGTGCAAAATGGGTTTCAGTGGGCTGAAATCAAGTTGTTGGCAGGACGGCACTCCCTCCAGAGGCTCTTGGATAGGATCCATTTCCTTGCCTTTTCCAGTTTCTGGAGGCTGTCCTCATTCCTTGGCTCATCACACCTTCCTCACATTGTTTCAATCTCTTGCTTCCATCATCGCAATACCAACTTCCTCTTCTGGAGTCAAATCTCCCTCTGCCTCTTGTTTTAAAAAATCTAATGTGGGCCGGGCGCGGTGGCTCAAGCCTGTAATCCCAGCACTTTGGGAGGCCGAGGCGGGTGGATCACGAGGTCAAGAGATCGAGGCCATCCTGGTCAACACAGTGAAACCCCATCTCTACTAAAAATACAAAAAACATTAACTGGGCATGGTGGCGCGTGCCTGTAATCCCAGCTACTCAGGAGGTTGAGGCAGGAGAATTGCCTGAACCCAG